ATGTAGGGTCATATGGAGTTTGAAGGCTTCTCTGCTCTCAAATATCTTCCCCACAAAAAGCTCTCATGTTGTCTCATCTGTCACACGTCCTGATAAGCACAAATAAAATGGTATTCAGCTCATCATACTAAATTTACATGTAATCCGTTTGTTTTCGGTAAATATTTTATTATTTCACTACTTTACATTTTAACCGTAACCTAAGTACTTTTCATAGCAAAAGCATTGTATTTCAACAATGTATCATTTCATCCTCAAACTTAAAAAACATTTTCATACCTCCAACTTCAATACCACTATGTTGTTGCCTGATAGTATTCTTTCCTTGAATGAACTTTCTATGACCTCTGCTACCCCCCCCCCCCCCCCCCCCCNCCCCCCCCCCCCGCCTCGTCAAATTCTTCACTCAAGTTTCTCATCCAGTGCAATGAAGCGTCATCCTCAGCAACAGGGTCGTCGACACCCAATGCCAGCGAAAGCTGTGTCGCTGAACCAGTACCTGAAAATGCATATGTTATCGCATAACTTTTGTTTTGACGGGTAACTAATTCAATAACGGAAAATAATTCTGTTAACGTTAAGATGATTACTCATATTGGATGCATTTTCTTCAGTCAGCAGGTGATCTCCAAATTGAAAGTTTGAAAAACCTCCAATTTTAATTGGTCTCTCTACCGCCTCATCACTCAGCATTACTCCCTTTCCCTTATCCTGTATTATCTCCTCCACTTCATTACCTGTTGCCCCTAGTAAATAGTGTTTACACCTTCCGGTTACGTAAACGTAACTCCTTAACATATAATATGATCTTTATCATGTAATAAAATACTCTTACCTAACGCGAAGGTAAAATCTTCAGTTTGAACTTCCAGGGTCGTTTCCTCTGATGCTCTTAAATCACCACCTGTTATTAGTGCGCCCGCCTGGGTAAGAGGGATGCCAGAAGAGCCCTCTGAAGAGTCTAAGTTTACTATCATCGTCGGGTCAAGCTGTAAATCATTTGCGCCACACCCAAGTGTCGTTTGCTCCAGTATGCTCATTTCATCAGCAGTGCATATTCCCCTAAGTATTTCCCCGTACACAACCAGGTACCCTCTCGCAGTCAAATCTGTAAACATAAAGCATATCAGTTATCTACCAACAATGACTGTTGTCAGTTAATATATGTGTTCGCTAGTTTGTTAAAAGACATCGTACCAGTTACCAAAGATTTTACCCGATACATACATTTTTTACCTGCTAACATAAAGTTTACCTAAACTATTTATTTTAGCTGATACATACTCTTCAGATACAACATACCTTTACAGATAACAACCTCGTTAACAGGGAAAAATAAATTTACCTTCGATACTAACTAAACCGCTGGCTGGAATTTGTTGTTCAGAAGCGGTTATTCCATCTTCAACATCCCTCTGCCTCCTGTAGTTGTAAACATCCTCTCCACCCAATGTCACATACAGCTCCTGCCACACATTGTCAACCCTAACAGCCATGAACACAGCCACGTCTTCGTCCTCATTTATTTCGATGGGTGGTGCTGAGTACTCCTCAGGCTCTGCTTCAATGTCGGGGTAGTGGTAAGTCAGCAGCACGGGAGCGTTGACTCCATACAGTGGGTCTACGTTGAACTTCTCCCTCACCATACCCACTAGTGAGACGAAGCTCTCGTTCTCCTTAAGCTCGACGTCAGCTATTACCATGGTTTTATCCACGTTGAACCTCCAGGTGCCTTGAGCGCCTCGTTCCCAGTCTCCAACAACGACGCGAACTTGGTGCCTCATCATCCAAACCTGTTACGTTGTAACATTACATTTATCAGGAACTAATATCTTTTAAGGACATCGAACTACCTTTTCTACGTATGATATGTACAGAAAGCTATGAGCTTACCCTCCGAGAGAAAACGATTTCTGTCTCTTGAGTTTATCTTCTTCAAATACCAAATCACAGCTTTCGTTCTCCCTCTTTCTCCCCCACTATTTTTGTTGTTCTGATAACTAAACTTTTACCCAACTCTACCTACTTTTATCTTCAAATTAGTATGGTAATACGTACACTTAACTTTTTCGAGGTAGCTTAGGATGTTGCGCTTAAACTGAGATCCCGGATAACCGAGGAAACGTGTGCTTTTAAAATTGCACACAAGTCGTACTAGGTTACTGAGTAGAGCAGGAACCTATTAGAATCGGCGTGGATATCTTGTGTCAGTCGACTGACACAAGCGCCGAAAATCAAATCTTTGGTAGGAGGTTAGTTTCGTCTTTTCCGCTTGGCGAGGGTAGGAATCGGGCCCTATATGTCAATCAATGGATACTTCTCCAATTTGGGCCTCTATTTGGGGCAATACACTAAATCACTCTAAAATAAATTACACAATTACATTAATCATATAATAAAAATCTATATTTTTTTGTGTATGTTGTATTTCGAATTTTTCAAAATGAGTATAAATTACTAAAACTGTTAAAAGTCCCACATAAACTTTTAAGATCAAGGTTTTAATTTTTTTTTCTATACTAAAATATAATGATTATAAGACCATATGAAGAAATAATTTTAGTTTATATATATTTAATATCATTTTAATTAAACTATACATCGTATCAAAATACATACTTATATTTTGATATTTGCCTTGAACATATATAGAAAAGTTAATATTTTAATTTTGAAATATTTCATTGTTTTTTTAAATGATTATAAATTATTGAAACTACTAAACATCTCACATTAAAAAAAATTCGTTGGTGTAAAGTTTTGTTACACAAATATGCAAATAATCATAAAATCATATGAGTGGAAACCTCATTTAATTAATATCCATATTAAAAGTGTGTTATATTACTATGTTTATATCATTTAAATTTAATTATATATCATATACAATATATAAGATTGATTATTTTGATTTATTTACCCTAATTTTGAATAAACAAGAGTAATAGTTAAATTTATATGCATACGCCAATTTATTACATAATAGTAACTCATTTCTTAGTTATTTAATATATATTTATTATTTTATTATTTATAATATGCAGAAAAATATAAAATAAATAATAAATATAAAATATTTATTGTGCATAAAGTGCAGATCTTAACCTAAGTATGTATCTCTTTAATTATTTTAAATCTTAAGTATTTTCTAAAACAAACGAAATGAGAATAAAATTCAAAATAAATATTTATATCGAGTAATAACTAAAATATAAAAAAAACATAGCAAGAGAAAAATGGAAGATAAATAGGACTGACACGTGAACGTAAACTTCTCATAACCGTAATTAATTTTTAAATTGTTAAATCATGATATAAAACTGAGTTAATTTTTAATTTGTTAATTTTTAATTTTTTAAATCATTATGGTTATGTTAAATCATGACCATAATTAATTTTAAATTATTTATTTGTATTTGAAAAACTTAAAATGTTGTTTCTAAAAATAATTTAAAAAATTAACATAATTTTTTTATAAATTATTTTTAAAAATATAATTTTCTAATATTCTTAGACAGATAAATAAATTATATTAAATTAGTTTTGAAACTTTATATATTTTAAATGAAAATATTTTACCAATTGCTTTTTAAAAAACATTAGGGGCTTGCTAATACTCTACCAATCAAGCCCAATAACACTCAATTTATTTTCCATCACTCGAACACTGAAAAGTGAAAAGATATATGAAAACAAATCCATTAAATTCTAAGATTTGATCTACATTTCTAATTAAAATTGTTTCTGATCCTACGTATAGATAATTATATAAAAATTTCAAAATTCTTAAATTTTAAATACATACAAAAACAATCATATGTAAATTTTAAATTTATCAATACTAAAATTTATATTTTAATTACATATATTCACCATGCGCAAGGCACAAGTCTTATCCTAATTAAATATAAAGTTAAATATCTATGCGGTTATACGTGTCAAAATTAGTATTCTTTATTCGAACTTAGCTAGTCGTTCTATGGTGTAAGCATACACTTTGGGAGATTCTAGAGGTGAAAACTATGATTAGACGCAATAGACAGTAAAGTGCGACTGTGACAAAAAAAAAAAAAAAAAAAAAAAAAGACAGTAAAGTGCGAAGTCTAATATACGTGGGTCCAGCTTGTTACATGAACTATATTATTCATATATCTACGCAATACTTTTAATATAATAAGATTAATGCTTTTGTAAGCTAATGTCGAGTGTAACAAGATAATACATATCAGCACTCTTTTTTTTTTGTCAAGAACATATCAGCACTCTTAGCACATTAAACAAATGGCAATTTGAATATGCTCAATTATGATGAAACAGTCAAACATCACTTCTACACCAAGTTGCCCTTTACACCAAGTTAAGAGACTAATACTAACAAGTTGCCTAGTTTGGTTTGTCAGGTAAAAACAGCTTACTGCTAAGTGAAAGCAGCTTACTGTGTTCAAAAGAAAGCATAAAAGTTGCTCAAAACAGTTTGGCACAAAAAAAAAAAATTTGTTCTGTTTTTCTTTTCCCTTAAATAAATGACAAGCGAATGTATTTCTCATACCTAATATTCACAAAGTATACAAAGCTGAAGACTTGACATGCCAACAAAACTCTTACATGACATAAGTAATTTGTTGATATATGATTGCGTGATCCTGCATAAGCATATGCTCTCAAGAAAAACACATTCCTGGCAGATGATGTAGGCAACAAGATTAGTTTCAAGACTCATCAAAACTGGATCTAGTTCATTCTCTTCTTCTTCTCCCCATTAAAGCTTTTATATGTAATGTCATACTGAATCGTGCCATCGGTTTCCCTAACAAACAATGAGAAAAGTTATGTGCTTTCTAAAACGGCAAAGAAAGTCCTGAACATAATACATAGTCCAAATCTATGATCACAAATGCTTAACTAATCATCACGTTATAAATAACAATGCAAGACAACAAGTCTTTAACCTTAGTAGAATAGAAGATCATACCTCGAATACGACTTATAAACTCTTCAAGCTAGAAGGAGTTCATTTCAAGACAATAAGTCCTTCTCTTAACCAACATCTTCGCAGCTGTCTCATAAGGCTCCTCAAAAGCCGAAGACACCCAATTCCCATCAGACACATCCTTCTTCGATATACTAGGCCTTATCGCCACTAAAGTCGCGCCTTTCAACACAGTTCCATCAGGCAACTCCAAACTCGGAGCATACCATAGCCTCATGTTCAAAGCAGGCACAAGAGTCCTCTTCGACGCCGAAGAAGCTGACAATGGTTTCACCCTAAGCTCCTCAAGCTGATCCTTATTCATACAAAGCACACCTTGCCCATCGGAATCAGTGAGCACTAAGCTCTTCAGCGTCTTGTGCTCCGAGATTATAGGCTGTAGCAAGTAATGCCGTGCTGATGCGGCAATCAAAGAGCTGATTGTCCACACAACACGTAGCTTTAAACCGCCGTTAGTGTAAAAAGATTCCGGTATACTCCCGTCGTCATCGGGAGATTCAACGGTTGTACTATCAATCCCTTGAGAAATTCGGTTAAGATTCGGTTGAATCACTGAAGATGCGCCGAGAATCACGCACTTATCTAACGTTGAGCCAAACTCAGCTCTCCATTTCAACAGGACTCCTTCCTCAATCCCTAGCTCACCGCTAGGTAGCTCGATTCGCAAGTACCGAATCTCATCGAAGTTTCTCAAAACCTGCGTAGGAGAATGGTGAGTAACGCCGCCGCCTTGTTCGATCTCTCCACTAATGGACAGAGAAGAAGAAGAAGATCGATTCGTGCCGAGTAATTGACCTAAAGCTTGCAACGGCTTGACAATTCCGCCGATGACGAGGTTTAACACGGCGGAGAACGATGAGGACGCGGTGGAGGGGGGTTTGGAGTTGTCGTCGTCGGAGATGACGCAATCGACGCGGACGACGACGTTTTCGACTTGGGGGACGAGGGAGTGGAATCTACGGGAGACGGCGCAGCATCGGCCGAGGGATTTGACGTCGGAGATTTTGTTGAGGATGAGGAGGAGGATTGAGTCTGGGAGACGATCCAAGTGGTCGATTTGTGAAGGTGGATCCGATCGGGGGACGACGGCCATTGATCGGATCTTTGATTCTGGGGGCAAAGTTTCTAGGGTTTGGGAGAAGGCTTCGAATCGGAATCTATGGTGTTTCGAGAAGATAAACGCATGACGAAGCTTCTAGAGAGAAAGGGAGATGAAAATGAGGGTGGAAACAGATCCACGAGTTTTGTCCTTGTTTTAAGCGCGTGAACATATCAGAGCGCGTGTTGTGATGTGTAAAACGTCCGGCGTTTTCTTCTTTTTAATAGTATAGGTTTCAGTTTCACTAATCAATCACTAATGAGAAACATCCGGGGTTTTCTTCTTTTTACACATTTTATTGCATAACGATCGAGATCATGCGGTTACTAGCTTGGTAAATAATTAACTAGGGTTGGGCACGGGGCAAGTACCCGGAATTTTAGCTATACTTGTAACTCGACTTGCCCCGTTCAAGTATTAAAAAACTCACCTTGCACTTGTATTTGCTAACACCAAGTACTTGGTTAAACAAGTACTCGTCCATATTGAAGATACTTGCGAGTACTTGTACTTGCTTTATATAAAGTAAAATTTATGTATGTTAGTTTTTAAAAATAAATCTCATTTCGATAATTTTAAGAATAGGTGATTGTTTATATCATTATCTTTGTTTCACTTCTCTATTATAACCGATATTGGCTAATATAGAATAGAATTTGGTAAAAAAATGAGAGAACTATTTAGTTCTATATTCTTGAAAAAATATAATCTATTTTTCCGACATCAAAAACTTATTTTTCTCTTTCGTAGTATTATGACAACTCAAGTTCCTATAAATATGTTGTATACATTATTTTTTCATGTTTAAAAGTATTTTACATGAGTATTAAACTATCTGAAATAATAATATAGATGTTATAAATATTTTGAAAGTCAAGTAACGAGTTGAAACAAGTCAAGTAGCTAAAATAATTTTAAGACTTGATACTTGACTTAGATTTGCAAGTAACTAAATTTCATAACTTGTTACTTGCCTTGTTTATGATAAGTACTTGTCTTTGCGGAGCAAATACAGTGCGGATAACGAGTATTAACCGAGTAACGGGTAATTGTGCCCAGCCCTATAATTAACACTATTGAAAAAAATATTCATTAGTTTATGATAAACGTTTTTTAAACATATTGGATAGCCAACAAATCATATGGGGCGTCACGCCTCACCATGTTTGGCTTGAGCTAGGAATTATGGAGACAAACATAAGTTTATTAATGAGTTTATGTCCCATATCACTATCTACATACATATGCAAACACGTGTACGCATAAGTTAATTCATCCCATACATAACATATGACAAGGAAACTTATGAATACAGGCAGCCTGGTGATGAAATTTAAAACTTATGTCACTGTTCGAAAAATAAATAATTTAAGATATTATAAATAGAAACATTTATGACCAAAAGTACTTTTAGTAACTTGTTAAATCTCATTCTTATCACAAAGTCAAAAAAATTAATATATACGATTAAAATGAATTAAATTTTCTGAGATACATTTGTTTGCTTTAATATTTACAGATATGTTATTATCATTTAGTTTTACTACATACTAGGGGTCAGTCCGTCTTACGGGCAGATAATTTTACAATAAAATTATTTTATATTTTAATTTTATAAATATCTATTTTTGGTTTGAGTTATAAATGTAATGATTTATATTTTAAATTTTATTAAATTTGGTTTGAGTACAAATGTAATGATTATATTTCACTTTGACATAGTTGAAGTAAATTTAAAATAAAATTAACTGATACTTTTTTATAAGAGTTTCAAATTTTAATATTTTACACTAATTAATTTATCACAATAATTAATTCATCCATCTCCAAGTTAAATCAATTGAAAATGTAATGTAACATGATAAAATTCTAAAGTACTGTATAAATAGTTCCAGTAATGTTATAAATAATAATTAATATATTTTATTTAACAACAAATGATGTTTATAATATACATTTTTTTATGGGAGTTTAGCAAAACTAACCCACAAACTGAAGTCAATTGCAAAACCAAACCTTTTTTTTTGTCATTACTATTCATCCATGAAATTTCTAAACCATTCTTATGTTTTGTAATATTTACAGAATTGACACTATTATTTGTTTTTTAATTATTTCGAAAATTGCAAAAATCAATTACACCCTAAAGTTTCTTCATATTTACAACAATGCCATCATCATCAATTTTCAACCACCATGAACCATCATTTTTAAGCTCTTTAAACCTTTCAAATTCAATTTTCAACCACTTTTTTCTCATTCTAAACTAACAACCTTCACTTCCTCTCATTTCCTCTTTATTTTCATCTAAAAAACTCTCATAACTTTCATTTTTATAAGCATAGCTTCATTATTTCGATTGTACTCTATTGTTGGTCGTCTAAGCTGCTTCTTTTTCTTCATATTTGGAGTTTGGACGGCGGAAAAGGGTGGAAACGAGCTTTACACCGGAAAAGGGTACTTATTTACAAGGTTTTCGTCATTTTTCAGATCTGTGTCGCGATAGTAGACTGTATCGTATGTCTACACTTACGTGTAGACATACGATACAGTCTACTTGTCAACGCACATGTTAATTTTTCATTTGACCAGAATAATTTTTTATGCAAATTAGACTTCCCTGGAAGTTTACGTCATTATCTTTGATAACAAAAATAAAAAATGAGGTAGATTACAAAGAAGTCTACGTATGTAAAAGAGGTTAGTTTTGCATTTGACCAAACTTTTGACTTTTCAATGTAGACTTCGTCGAAAATTTATAGACTGTAGACTTTCGGAGAAGTTTATAAAAAAATCTGTTTTGTATTTGACCCAAATTTAACTCCATTGAATAGGTTAGTTTTGTATTTGACTAAAATGTTAAAAAGTTGACCAAAAAGAAAAAAAAGTGTAGACTTTAATTACAATACACTAATTTCAAAACAAAAATGATAGACATCACATGAAGTCTACTATTTTATTTTGGTCAAATGCAAAACTAACCCCCCGTATTTGTGGATAGACTTTGTATGAAGTCAACATGTATGTAGACATTTGTTGCCGTTTACTAATAAAAAGTCAAACTTGATTAGTTGCAAAACTAACCTCTCTAAAAAAAATTCAAACATGTACTACTTCTAAAGTCTACTTTAATAAGTCAAATCTTGGGTGATTTTTGTCAATTGAAAAAAACAACCTTTTTATATGTAGACTGAAATGAGAGTTTACATGTATAAATTCATAAATTTTTTTTCAAATATAGATAGTAACCCGTGTGCACAAAAAAAAAAAAAAAGATAGTAACCCGTAAAATTTCCAATTTCAAAAACTAACCTAAAAAGAAGACTGCATATGGAGTCTACATGTGTAAACTGTAATGAACTTCTACATTGACGCAGACTACTTATGGAGTCTACGTTTGAAAGTATATTAAAAGTGAATTTGTGTATTATTCATTAAGTTTTTTTCGAAAAAAAATTGTTTGGCAGTGTGTGTTAGGTAATCCTAATATTTTTGAGTGATTTTTTTTAAAAAAATGTATTATATTTATGAAATTATGATATTTTTGATTTGATCATGTAGTTAGCTAATAATCGTAGACGTATTAGTAAGTCTACTTTATATTTTTTTGAAACATGATCGCTAAATCTACTCTCATTTTTGACATTTGAGTGTTTCTCCTTTGCAGAATCTTTGAAAATTATGGTAATGACATTTAAGTTCATTTGCAATTTTGTATCAAGTTTTAATTCACAATGAAAATCCAAATAAATGAGATGAATTGAAAATAAAAAAAAAATTAGAAAATTGTATGCAGCCTTACAACAAGTTTAAAGATTCATCTTAAATATGATTTATGAGCAAAGACCACTCGAACAAGGAAATTCGGGATCCTCTGTCACAATACAGCATGTGTGCGCACTGCACTTATAATAATAGTTTAGACATAGCGCAATACGTGAGTTGATCACTCACATGGTGATTACAATATAGTTTGTTCGGTCTCAACATTCTTGCTGATCATTTGAAGAATGATTAGTTAGGGACTTAGTAATTAAGTTAGCTAAAGGGATGGGTTTAAAGTCCATTTGAAATCTTTAATGGTGGGATATCCAATTCTTCTCTAATACAACGTTAGAAGCTAAATTCAATGTGGAAAGTCTTCACCTAAAGACTGAAGCACCTTTTTATATATTATTCTTAATAAATATTTTGAAAAAATGCATTTGCAGGTGCATGATTGAAAACATTTATTTATATGAGTGTGAAGTGATGCCGCTTCAATAAGTTGAGACTTGGCTTTGTATGCGCTCATGAAGTATGGACACACATGTGTGTATTATCTTCATGTGTTCAAAATGGATTGAGGGATTCAATCTGTAGGACATCTTGATTCTCGGGCATTTGGAATGTGTAATACATTAAGATGAAAATTCAATTCTCCGAATATTTTCATTTATGCATAAGTTTGATATATGTATTATTTATTTAATGAATCTATGATTACACTTAAATGGGAGATAATTGTTATATATTTAAGTGAAAGGGTGCAAATTGCAACTGTTTATGTTTACAATTGTAATTACACAAATGAAAACTTGCAACTATTGATAATTGCAACATTTGATAATAACCATATTTATGATTGCAATCCTTGGTGATTAACCATTGTAACTCTTTATTAACCATTGTAAATTTTCATTAACTTTTGCAACTTTTTGTTCAACCATTGCAACTATTAGTTATAACTTTTCACTCCCTATATAAAGAGGCTAGATTTTGGACCCATACCCACAAGCAGGTGATAGTTCTAAATTATTATATGTTTAACATTTATTTGACAGTTTCATAATTTTTGAGTTTTGAGATTGATGTATTTTGTTCAGTTTCTTAGTGTCCAATTATAAAATATGTTGTTGTACCGATGGTTTAGTAATATGACAACATATTGTGTTTTATATATTAGAAAATACGATATGTAGAGAACCAAGGATAACATGGTTTAGTGTTAGTTTAATAATAACAGAATAAGTGGTTTATGATTTATTAATAAGAGAAGAACTGGTTTAGTGATGGTTTAATAATTAGAGAATAAAAAAGTTAACCTTT